CATGAATATAGTATGTACACTTGTTTAGATTTATACCTTTGAACTTTGTCAGAACTTGCTTTGTGACCCAGCATATGGTATATTTTGAAAAAGCTCCATATACACTTGAAAAGAATATATATTTTGCAGTTATTAGGTGGGTGTTTTTCTCTACATATATGTAAATTAGGTCAAATTTGTTCATATTTGTATAAAACTTTTATGTCCCTGTTGATTTTTGTTGGCATGCTACTGGAGAAATTGAAAGGTATCCCACCATAATTATGGATTTGCCTAATTCTCACTTTGGTTCTGTCATTTTTTTGTTTTGTGGATTTTAAGGCTGGTATTAGATAGATTTAGAATTTAGACTTGGTATATTTTCCTGGTTGATCGATCTTTGAATAAACATAAAATGTCTCTGTCATTATGATTATTGCCTTAAAGTCTGCTTTGATAGTAGCTACACCAGATGTCTTTGGCTATTGCTTGTGTAGCATATCTTTTACATTAAGCTATTCTGTGCCCTCCTATTTAAGGTATTTTTCTTGTAAGCAGCATATACTTCTGTCTTACTTTCTCTATATCTAGTTTGAAAATCTTAGTCTTTTACTTGTAGTATTTGTTAAATCTACATTGAATGTAGATATTAATATATTTGGGTCTACATTTATCATATTACTCTTGATTTCTGCTCTTGTTTTCCTTTCCTCTTTGGCTTGCTCTTCTTTTTCTAGTTTATTAACACAAAAGCTTGGATTATTGATTTGATACCTTTCTTTTTTAATATAAATACTTAGTACTATGAATTTCCCTTTAAGCACTGCTTTAGCTGTATCCCACATATTTTGGTATATTACATAGTCATTTAATTTCAGTTAAGAATATTTTCTCATTTTCCTTGGGATGTCCTCTTTGATCCTAGGATTATAAGGAGTGTGTTATTTAATTTCCAAGTGATTGGAGATATATCTGTTATCTTTGTTATTGCTCTCTATTTAATTGATTATGATCAGAAAAATAATTCATATGGTTTCAGTTCTCTTAAATTAACATTTGTTTTATGGCCCAGAATATTGTACATGTTGGTGAATATTCCTGGATTCTTGGGGGGAAATGTATGTTCTGCCATTGGTGGGTTTAGTGCTCTACAATGTCAGTGAGATCCAGCTCATTGATAGTGTTGTTCAGCCCTCCTACATCCTGCTGATTTTTTGTCTACTCATGCTGTCTATTACTAGGAGAGTAATTTTTAAGTTTCTAGCTACAATTGTGGACTTGTCTGTTTTCCTGTTTTTGCTCTGTGTATTTTTAATTTCCATTGTTAGAAACATACACACTTATTGTTATAACTTCTTGTTAACAGAATCCTTTTATCAATGTTATATATCCCTAATTTTCTTTGTTCTGAAGTCTACCTTGCCTAATTGTAACGTAGTTTTCTTTTGATTCATATTTGCATAGTATATCTGTTTCATCCTTTTATCTATCATACTGTATACAAATTAAGTTGTTTATAGATAGTATATACTTGGGTAATATTTTAATCACTCAAAAAATCTCTTTTATTTGCTGCATTTAGATTGTTTCACTTAGTGCTATTCTTGATATGTTAGGATATAATCTACCTTTTTATTTGATGTCTGTTTTCCCCCCATTTTTCTTTTTCTTTCTTGCCTTTTTATAAAGCTCTTTAATTATTTTTACTAGCATTACATTTTATAATCTATTATATTTTTACTACCTAATGTATTTTTTTACTATCCCTGTGTAAGGTTTTTTTTAGTGGTTGCTATTGGAATTATAAAATGCTTTACTTTTCACAGTCTTCTTATAATCATGAATTATAATATAGAAACCATAATACTTTATAGGCTCCTTCCCCCCTTATGCTTCAGGGTTTTTAAAATATCTATATACAGCAGCACCCCATCAGACAATTTATATGTGTTGCTTTTCTATCATCAAGCATTATTTTAAAGAAAGAGAATATTCTATTACGTTTATTCAGATATTTACCCTTTCTGTTGCTCTTCCTTCATTTCTGATGTTCCACGTTTCCTCCTGGTATTATTTCCTTTCTCTCTGCAAAACAACTTTTAGCAATTCTTTTAAAACAGTTCTGCCTCCATTCATTTTCCTTCATATGAGAATGTCTTTATTTCACTTTAATTCCATAATATTTTGCTAGATATAGAATTCTAGTTTGATAATTCTTTTAGCACTTTAAAAATGTTTTGTCACTTTCTTCTGATCTCAGTGTGAAGAGAAATCCACAGTAATTCAAATCATTGTTCCCCTCTAAGTAATGCATCATTTTTTTTTTCCTGCATGCTTTCAACATTCCTTGGCTTCAAGTTTGATTATGAACTGCTTGGGTGTGGATTCGTTGGATATCTTGTTGGACATTTTCTCAGCTCCTTGAATCTATAGGTTCATGTCTTTCATCACACTTGGACTAGCGTTAGCTATGATTTCCTCAAATACCTTTTCATCCATTTATGCGGTTCTCTCATTCTAGAGCTCCAGTGACACAAACCTTTCGTTATTGTCCTACAGGTCCCTGAGGCTCTGTCCTTTGTGTTTTCAACATTTTTTCCTCTGTTGCTCAGATTGGATCGTTTCTATTGATCTGTCTTCAAGTTCGCTGCCTCTTTCCATTCTGCTGATGAGTCTATTCAGTGTGGCTTTTTATTTATTTATTTATTTATTTATTTATTTTTTAATTTTTTTATTGCTTAAAGTATTACAAAGGGTATTACATATGTGTCCTTTTTTTCCCCCACCCTTGACAATCCCCTGGCCTCCCCTATTTTTTGTTAATATATATTTTTTGGTTCTCTTTTATATTTTCTAATTTTTATAGTCTATTTTAATACTTTATTCTGTTTTCATACTGTTCTATTCCATTTTAATATTTGTTTCAAGAGTGTTATAGTCTATTTTAATACTTATTTCAAATGTTATTGTTTTAGCATTTTTATAATGCTTTGAAGTCTTTGTCAGATACTTCCAACATCTGTGTCATTTTCTACATATTGTCTTATGTGAGTTGAGACTTCTGTGGTTGTTTGGATGCCCACCTTTTGGATTTTATCCTGTTTTAAATATTACATTATAAGGCACTGTGTCTTGTTGAAACCCTACAGAGAATATTGATACTTTTATTTTAGTAAGCAGTTATGTTGGTTAGGTTCAGGCTGCAGCTTGGAATTATAAGTTCAATATCAGATTCAAAGCACTTGCAATGCTGTTCGGATCTCTCTTGTGTGTCCTCCAAGGGTCAGGCTGGGTTTTGAGTGTGCTGTTTGGACCAGTTCCACGCAAGCACAAGTTAAGGGTGAGCCTAGGAATTCATAAACAAGTTAATGAGGTTGCTTTCTCGAGCTCTTCCCGGTTCCCTGGGTCTCCCATTCTCTGCCTGGCCATACATCACTGACTTCCACAATTGCGGTATCTGGGCCAAGCAGTGGGAGGACAGAGAAGAGAGTTTTGGCTGCCACTGTTGCCGCCCCCACCGTCGTTATTGCCACCAGAACTGCTGGGGCCACAGAGAGCTGAGGAGAAGGAAGGAAAATACCCGAGTTTCATCTCTTCTCTCTGAGCTTTGGGGTTTCCTCTCCCTTCCCCAAGCCTGGCTTCTCCGGAGCTCTCTCCTCGCCCACAGTGCTCACTGCGGGGGTTGGATTGGTTGAGTCCTGCTGGCCTTCCTGGAAGGAGAGAAGTGGATCCGGTGTCCTTCCCCGCCTGCCTGTCGCTGTTTGCTTCTCACTGTTCTCCAGTAGCTGAGCTGTGTACTCTGTCCAGGTTTCATAGTTGCATTCGGAGGGAGAGCAGGGAAGCATGTCTCTTCTCTCTCAGCCAGAACTGGAGTCTCTGATATTGATTACAATTTTTATTTTCTAATTAACTCGTCTTTATGTGTTAGGACTATAGTTGGTGTTGTTCATAAGAGTCCCATTAAGTGGCCAAATCACATAATTTTCCATTAATTCTTTTGGCTTTGTTGATGCCTACACTTATGTCCATTTCACATGATGCTATTTTGGTCCCTTCCTTTGATTGTGTGATTCTCACTATATTTTCCATTTGCACCTTCTGACTAGCCTTGTGAGTAAATGCGGTCTTACTGTTTCTTTGGAACCTGTTGGGTGATTGTTTTGGAGCACACAGTCCCATGGGAGGGCTGGGCAGGGCAGTGGGTGTGGATGCAGCTCAACGGACCTGCATGAGGCACATTTTGGGGAACCTCACCGAAGGGCCCGGCCGCCAGTGTAAGCCTGTGCTCACCTCAGGCAGAACTGAACCACAGCTGGCATTCCCAAACGGCAGCCTCTGGAGCTCACCCAGTCGGGTGTGACTTCAGGGCATTTACATGCAGCTCTTTGAAGATGCAGGTCTTTGCAGCAAGCACACCCCATGCAGCTGAGCTGGCAGTGGGTGAGGCATATGTGGGGAGTGGGGTGGCGCAGGTGCGGAGTCCACCTGCAAGTTTAATGACCCCCGTGACCTTCCTGTCCCTGTGGCTAAGAAATTTCAGCCTCTTCTTAGAACTGGGCGATGGCAGTCCAGGCTGGGCTGCTAAGGTCAAGGGGAAAGGACACTTGAGCAGGGGGTCACCTGAGGCCAGCCTGGGGCCAGCCTCCAAGGGGGGACCATAGGCTCCGGCTCCCTAGGTCCTGCCGTGGTGACCCCTGCGTCTCCCTGAGCCCCGGTGACCTCACCTGTAAAACACACCGACGCTCACCGTGCAAGGCGTGGCTGTGGGAAAGAGGAGACGGCAGAGCCTTCCGCAAGTCCGGTGCCACCTGAGGCACCTCACCGTGACCGGGCACATCCCCCGCCCGAGACTCCCCAAGGGTCACCACCGTCTGCCTCTGTCCCCATGGTCAGCAACGTCCTGTGGGGTGGGGCTGAGGCTTGCTCCCCAAGGCCACAGGTAGCCCGACACTCAGGGTGCCCACCCAGTGGGCTGAGTCGGGGCTGGGCCCACTGACCACTGTCTTCTCCCGCCTTTGCAGGTCACCTCCAACGAGAAGCACCTGGAGAGCCTGAAGGGTGCGGGCAGCCTCCTGCGGGCGCTGGAGCGGCTGGCCCCGGCTGGCGGGTGAGTCGGCCCAGGAAGGGCCCGTGCAATCTATTGGGCTCAGCAAACACTGACGCACTCTTTTCTCTCCGCCTGTCCCCCCACTCCCTCTACACACCAGGGACCACCATCTCCCACTCGGTCATTGCCACTGAGGTCCCTCCCAGCGTGGGAAGCATGGTCGCTGTGTCTCTATCCCCTGGGGACCCCCACTGTCCAAATGAGGGGTGTCAACAGGAAGAGGGGTAAAAATCAGGATATCTTAGCCCCCCAATATCATATCTATAGGGGATAGAGGTGAGGAGGGGAGTGGACTATGACTAGCTGGGAGGGGACAACAGGTGGGAGATGGGATGAACCCCATAAGGTGGTCGGTAACCAGCCTGTGTACACGCACCCCCATGCCAGCCCGGGCCACAGGCGACATTACCGCCATCTGGCAGAGGGACTGGAGGTCAGGGAAGGGCTGGGCTCAGAACGACAGCTCAGCCTGCCCAGCAGCACCAGGCTGCCCCGCTTGGCCAGAAGGAAAACCTGGAACCTAGAGAGCAGAGTATGTGACTCCCAGAATCGGAGTGTGAGGTTAGCTCTGTCTCCACTCCCAGCTGTGCAATGTCTAGAACATTCTAGAACTGAGGGGCAGACCAGGCAGCGCTGTCACCCCGGAGCGCCAGCCCCACCGTCATGCGGATGCTCAGTGGGGTGAGTGCTGCAGGGAGGGTTCATTCTGCAATGACACGCACCCCTGCACCCCTGCACCTGAGAGGTGGTAGCAGCTGGTGGGGGTAGAGCTTATACTGTTTATGTGAATGTTAGTGCCAAGTGACAAAGGGAAACACAGGGATAAAGAGTTGTCCCCAGGCCTCCATGCTTCCCGCCGGCTGGCACTGCCTCACGGCTCACCGCTCACCGGTGTGGCGGCACCGAGCCTGGCAAGTGGTGGGGCTTGGGAGGTCTGAGGAGTGGTCAGTGAATGCAGTGACCCCGTGCTGAGGGAGGTAGCCAGAGTGTGGGGGCCACAGTCCTGAGCCCCCACTGCTGTCCGTCCCCACCCTGGGCAGAAGGCAGCCCCTCGAAGGCCTTCACTGCACATTTCCTGGTAGCTGTCAGCACCACAGGGTTCTGTGAAGTCTGTTTTCGGTGCTTTGGGATGGTATTAACTTGAAGAAATACATGTGATTGCTGAGGCGAGTCTGTGGTGGAGGCAGGGCTCCCTCCATCCTTTCTGTACTTAATCCTGGTTGGGTGGAGGAGGGGGACACCACCTCCTGGGCTACCCGCCCCCCGCTCGTGGTTCCTGTGGGTGAGGGAAGGGCAGGCTGACGTGATGGGAGGCCCTGCCTCACCATGGCAGCCCTGGTGTGAGGTGCAGACAAGGACTCGGGCTGCGCACACAGCCACCCCCAGGGACCCCAGCCTTGAGCAGTTTGGTGGCCCGCTCCTGAGAGCCCTTCCCCCAGCTGCCTGTGGGACTCTCCTAGCAGGCCCTCAGTCTGCCTTCGGGTCCAGGCCAGTGCGGCCGCAGGATGCACCTAAATCTTGACCAAATGTCAAGTGAGGCTCAGGGCTCCATGGGGCTGGTGGTCTCCCCCACCCCCGCCCCCAGCACTTCAGGCAGGTGAGAGGTTGGGCTTTGCTCCGATGGCTGAAGAAAGGCTTCTCTAATGGTGACCAAGGAGGGAATGGCAGTGCTCTCGGTTCTGATTGGCTCTGCCACAGGTTGACATGCCCTTTGCCAGTCACTGAGCCTTCCGGGGCGGCTCAGTGGGCAGGGCAGACCCTCGGGACCTTGGCTGCGCAGCCCCGTCTCCTGCCCTGTCCCCCGGGGGCCCACCTTCTATGCAGCCCCCACCTGATTATTTGACAACAGCTCTATTTCTGTGTAGTGGGAGGTGCCACGAGCTAATTGCATACTTCAAGGTGAACATTGCTGTGTGTCACTCTTTCTTTGCTAACAGTTGTTAGTGCACAGGCTTAAATGTGTCTCAATTTGCTCTGTTAACAAAGTATCCATGTTAAGCTCTTAATTGCACATCCACACCTATGGGAATAAGACACCCAAGACTCATGGCTGATGGGCCAGCCAGTGGCAACACGGAGCAGGAGAGTCAGCCTTTGGGCGGGTCTGGGATCTTCGGTCTTTGGTACAAGTCAGCTGGAGGCAGGCGCTGGGCAGGCCCCCCAGCGGGACCCCGTGGGACCCGGGCCAGGCTGAGCAGGGTCTGGCTGCTGTCTGACTTGCCTGACAGCTCAGCATCAGTGCACCTGGCCCAGGGCGTTCAGATGCTGAGAGCTGGTGGGCCAGGAGCTCAGGCCTCGATTAGGGGTGCTGGTGGGGCCAGTTCTGAGCCCCACTGGGGGTGCGGCTGACGGGTTCGCACCTCAGCCTGGGAACACGGTTTCTGCGCCTCTAGATACTGCGGAGGGGCCGCCCTAGGAGAAGCAGCTGGTGCATCGGACACCAGCCCCTTTGAACGAGGCGGCTCTTCAGCCTGACTTTGTTTCCTCACAGTTCATCTGCCGACAGTGCGGTGGCCTCCTTGGCCCTGGAAATCCTCCAAACGGTTGGACACTAGGCGAGAAGGCACCGAACACAGGCCCAACCTCGGCTGCACAGGCAAGGCCAGCCCCCGACACGCTCGGCACCCCAGCCGTCCCCGCACCCAATAAAGCCAGCTGACGCCCAAGCCTGCGGCTGCGGTGCTCTCCCTCACTGTGGGCCCTGGAAACGGCCTCCGAATAGAGCCTCGTCCTGGGGGCACCCGGGAAGCCAGGTTTGCCCCTGGGCTCAGAACGTCCTTTCCTGTGTGGCGCGGGCCAGCCCGCCTGCGGAGACTGAAGGCAGCGCCCAGCCAGCCTTGGGAAGGGTTAGCCTGTCTCCCCCCACTTTGACCTGCCTGGCTGTCCTTCCTCTCAGGGACACACTGAGTCCCAGAGCCCCCTGCAGGCACAGGCAGCTAGGAGTTTGCCTGCAGAAATGCCAGCACTCCAGGAACGCTGGCTTCCAGGAAGGTCTGCCCATCGGGGTGGGTGGATGGCATCCAAGTAGAATTGTCCCCCCAACTTCTACCAGTTACTCCCAAATCCTTGAACCTCTTCAGCCTCTCCCTATGTTCCCTCACACACATGCCAAGAACCTCCTGGGAGCGTCATGCCCATGAACACATTTGGTGGACAGTGCAGAGGTGTTGGGCCGAGGCATCTGGCCTGGAAGGTGGGATGGGTCGTGGACAGCTCAGACCAGGTGAGCAAGATGATGCATCCCCTTGTCTCTGGGGCCTCGGTGTCTGATCTGCAAAAGGAAAGGGCTAGACCAGGCCAACAGCTGCTACCCTTCTCCCAGCTGTGGGACTGCACTGCTCAGAGAGGATGCGCCCCTAATAAACACTGCCCCTGCCTAGGTGGGGCTGTCCCCTGCAGAGTGGGTGGGGCAGGCAGAGGTCGTAGGCCCACTGTGCCACAGTGATCAGGGTAGTTTGCCAAGTTCATTGGGCTTTATATAGAAAGCAGCTTGTGCCAACTCTCAAAGGCATGTCTGTCAGTCCCCACCACAACCTGCGAAGCAAGCCTTCTCCGCTTCCTTTCAGGCCATCTACTTGCTTGGCTGACCTCAGGACTGACTCCATAGCCCTGTGTCCCCTGTGGGTGTCCAGAGCTTGGCTGTAAACAGCTGGGGGGTAAGAGGCTGTCCCGTCCCGTCCCCCCCACCCCGCCACAGCAGCAGGCAGTTTGGTTTGATGGCTCATAGCCTACTTACTGCCCATGGTGAGGAGGCTGCATCCCCAGGGGTCTGGCCTGGCTGGAATGGCCTGTGCTCCTGGGTGGGGTAGGGAGTTAACACAGGGAGCAGCCAGAGGCCTGGCCTTTGGCTCCAGCTGCTTTGCCTCCGGGGCCCAGGGAGCAGGCACAAATCTCCTGTTTTCCCAGACAACCTGTTCTCTCCCTTGATTCAGTTCCTGGGGAACCACTTGAGTTCTGGGTCTAGAGTCCTCAGAGAAGGAATTTCAGAGAATGGAAAAGCGACTTCCCCCTTTCCATCAAGCAGGGAGGAGTCTTTGCTGTTTAAAGTAAACTAGGTAGGATTTAACGTTCCCAAACCTTGTTGAGTTGACCATGCCTGGCCGAGCCCACAGCACAGCGTGTTTGAGAAAAGGGCACCTCAGTCGGCAGGAGGACGAGATGAAGGTCCCAGCAGGGCTACTGCCCTCCAAGGTGCCCAGCCCAGGGTGCCGGGCACTAAAGCTGGCCCATGCCAAGCCTTGTACCCTATGTGAGGCTCTGTCCTTCTGGACCTAGGGGATCCTTTTTGTTCTTCTCACAAAGTGTCAAACAAGCAGCAGCAGCCGCAGTATAATGAAATCGAGGTAGGGCGAGAGCAGGCTGGCTGGGCGGCGGCAGAGACCCTTCCCTGCCTTCTCCAGGCGAGAGGCCCATGCCCTCGTCTTGGCTTCCCAGGATGGCTGCAGTGCTGAGAAAGGAGCTGGCCCCTAGCCCAATTGGAGCTCACAGGATTCTGACAGTGGTAAGGGGTCCAGACCCAGGTACCTGCTGGCTTCCCCTTCCCACCACCTCCAAGCCTCAGCTATTTGCTCGTCAACTGACACACCACTGGGACGACTGGTGTCACTGAAGTCGGCAGCCGAGAGCACTCGGGCGGGGAGTGGCTGCACAGGACCTCCGCCTTCCCCTCGACTTACACCCTAACGCGGCGAGACCTTGCCTAACTCCTGCCTGAGAGGAATGTCCGAGGACGGTGCCTGTGAAGAACCGTTGGGTGACTGGTTCCAGGTGGTCAGAGAGGAAGCGAGAGTCACGGGGGCAGCTGAGGTAGGTCTGCTGGGTGCAGTGACAGAATTGACTGCCTGGTGGTTCTTTGGACGCGTCCAGCTCCTCGCATTCCTTATTACATGAGGTTTTCTGTTACCTGACGAGGTTCCAGGTCAGCTCTGTGACTGTAGTGTAGCTCAGGCTCTTGTCCAAGGTGAGGAGAGGAGAGGTCTCCCTGCCTCCTCTTGAAGCAAGACGCCCGTCTCCCTCCCTCCCCTGGCAACACACACAGGACGCAGAAATAAATCTCTGCACTCCGATGTCCGCAGCGACTGAGGTAGGAGCCTTGGGAAGGAGGGTGGGGGAGGAGCTACCAACGCCCAAAGAAAGGGGCTTGGCGACGGAGGGCTGTCTGGAGTGGGATGGAAACAGACTGGACAAAGGTTAGGAGGCCCCATTAGGCTCCAGCTTCAGTGGAGCTGAGGAGAGAAGTGTGGGAAGAAAAGAAGCCTCGGCCTAGAACGAGGGAGTGGAGTGCGGAGGGGCCTGGAGGGAGACTGGCTTACAGCCCACTGCTGCCTCTCGGAGGCGTCAGGGAGGCCCGTCACCCCCTCTCACCTGCTGAGTGGGCACCACATAGGAGCGAGGAGAAAAGGAGACACGACCTTTTCTGCCCCACCCTCACCCTTCCATTCTGTAACTGCCTTGGGGGGCTGATCCACTCAAGTCAAGGAAAGCAGTGCGATTCTCACCTGCTGGAACAAAACCACCACAGCCATCTACTCAGCTTTGCTAATTAAACCAAACAACACAAGTCAGATCTTGTTTTTATTACAGTAACCTAAACAAGAATTAAAAAGCTTATTCACCTCAAGAACTTTCACTGTCAAGGATTCAAATAACCAGATCAAGGTCTCATGTCTAAAGCGTCTACTCCAACATGAAGCGTCACCCTTCCGCTCAGTGCAGTGGGATCAAATGTCCTGTGACCTCCATCCCCAGGTAACCACTGGCCTGATTTGTGTAAGAATCTAAGAACTCCTTGCTTTTCAGTTTTCCCATCCATGGATGAGTTCCTTAAAATAGACTGCCCTTTTTTGGATCAGTGTAGCCCTTCAGTATGCATTTATGACTTTCTTTTGTTTAATATTATGAGATATAGTCAAACTATTGTGTAAAGGTATCGTTTTTAACTGCAGGATGGCCACTCTCATGTATGAAGGAAGTGATTATTGGGCACCTGATCTCACAGTGCCCTACCAGTCATATTGGACCTTGAGGCAAAAGAAAAATACCGATATTGTTTTTATTTAAAATTGATAGTTTGTTGGTCGTGGTTTTTCTGCATTTAACTTCAATTTTATCCAAACGGCCACCCACAGAAAATCAGAAACAGCCCTCCCTAAGCACAAACCACTCTTTTTAAAAGACCAAATCACAAGTCTTAACAGGTCTACTGACTCTGCCCTAAGGGAGGAAAGCTGGGAGACCTACCGCCAGGATGACGGGCTCACCTGGCAGGTAGCTGGAAAGGCCCATTCTGGGTCTATGTTCAGATAAACATCTACACTTAAACCAACTTAATTATCAGTTCAAAGTGGAGTTGAAGGAATTCCCCTCTCCAAATGAGTCACACTTATGTGAAGGTGCTTGGGGTCTAAAGCCCAGGTAGTTAATTTTTCATTCTTAAGACAGTAACTGTGGGGTGGGGAATTCCTATTGGCTTCAGTTTTGCTCTATGTAGCCCAAGGACTAGATAGATGCCTTTTGGTCACTTGGGTGAGATTACACAGAAGCCAGGTGAAGTCTTGGCCACAGGGTCTAAGCCCAGAGTCCTTCAGTTGGAGAAGGTGGAATCTCGCCTCTCACACAAGGTCAGAATCCGTGTTCACGGCTGAAACCATTGTTGGGGCCACTGCTGGAGAAACTTGGCCAACATTCCCATCTAAGGTAAAGGCTCTACCTTTGACCACTGAGTTCACTATGTACGCGAATATACTTGTTACCCTCACAACACCATTTGCTAACAAGGAAAAAAGGTGACACAATCGAATGAATTAAAAGTTTAATTCTGAACCATTTTTATAACTGCATTTTCTCTTGAAGCATTGAATCACAGCAGGTTACAACAACTTTGGGATAAAAGGCAACTGGTAAACTGTCCAAAACAAGGTTCCAAATAACACCTCTTACTGATTTACCCTACCCATACATATCCCAAATAAAGTTTTCGATCAAAAACATGAAATAGATCCACCTGCTTATTTTAAGCATATTAAAAAGGAAACTAATTGGACCATTTCTATTTGTCTATTTTATACAAAAAGGCTACACAATGTTACACTTTATTCAGATTACAATTAGAGTGATTATGAATTAGTGTTCTACACCATTACTCAATTCTTAAAAATTAGAAATTGCTGTAGCAGTATTCACTATAACTTAAGACTACAAGACTTAAAAAACTAACAGTTACTGCAAAAAAAATTAAAGAGCTACTTCAAAGCAAGCAAAGTCAGTACCATTACAGATATTAAAAAAAATTTTAACAAGCAAGGCTAGAGTTTGATAAATTCCATCCTGTGATCCATTCTTGTGCATTCTTCACTTCTTGAGTCACTCCCAAAATCCATTTGTATTGTTACTCCTCGACCAAAAAGGACCAGAACAAAAAGTTTACTTCAATTGTTCCCATAGGAAACTCAGCTTGGTTAGTGTGTCAGGCACTTTCTGAGATACCAGCCCACCCCTCGAGCCCTCTCAGCAACTCTACAGGCCAATCACAATGCAAGTTCAGACAATACCGCTGTATAAAGAGAGAAAGGCTGCTATTAATGTTTAAAACAGCAAATGTTACTCGTTTGAGTATTAAGTTGCAAAAGCTGTGGCAAAAAACATTAAAGTTAATGACTTCCACACATGACCACGTAACAACCAGAAATCTGAGAACATTCAAATGCTCTAAGACATCTCCTTTCAAAGTATGTATGTAGCTGTTTTGTGTGTTTTTTTTGTGGCAGATTTACAAATCGGTCTAGACCACTCCCACCCTACCAACCAAGTCTTTCTGAAGTTCTGTAGGCAGAGTAAAAGTATTTTACCCAAACTGGCTTTTTTAACTTCTTACCTAAAGGATGATTTACAGGTCAGTATCAAACCAGGCCAGCTGATTGCTGTCACCTGGAGGCAGCCCATCCATGAGGTCCTGGGCGTGCCCCAGATCTGGCAGCCCATCAACTGGATAGTCAGCACCAGGGTGGTGGCCACCCATCTCATGCTCCATCATTGGGTCCATTCCCAAGGCATCCTGGCCGTATCCACCAGAGTGAAAAGAACGATAGCTGGGATCTACAGGAGTCGGGGTGGCAACAAAACGGGCAAGGGAGTGAGAGGAGAAAGAGGTTACCACTGAGGTTAGGGACGTCGGAGGACTACGTACTTGTTGGAAAGCACTCCTCTAGCCTCTTCATCTTCTAGCTTTCTTCAGCCAAGTAATCACCCAAGGCCAGGCCACCCACGCAGTGCTAGTCCTGCCTTCAGTTCACCCTCAACGTTTTGCATTTCCCCAGCCAGAGACAAGTTCCTCAGGAGGAAAGAGCAGCTCCCACTGCACACAACCACCCAGGCACCAAGAAGCCATGGGCAGGAGGTGAGGCAACAAGGAAGCCTGGCAGATCTAGCTGTTGAGAAGTCCAGGGGATGCCCACAAAGGTACTGAGAAAATGCAAGACATCGTTTCCAATGGAACTTCTACACGTGTTATCTTAAAGGTTATATGTCTGTCAAGGAAAGAAGCTATGGGCTTTAGTTGTTTATGAAAAACAAATTTAAGATGAATAGTTATAGCTGTTGGTAGTCTACCCCATGCTCCATCTCCATTACCAAGAGTTGAATTAGCTTTTCAGAAAAACTCGATCATACAACTAGGTAAATACCCACCCAGACCTGAGCTTGGGGACACAAGTTTCCCATGCTCTCATTTCCTGGGTGGGTTGTAGACCCCAGTAACAGAGCTTCTCTGACAGCACACACATACAAAAGAATAAGCAGAAACCCGGCAGGAGAGACAAGTGTTGGTGGCGTGATACTGTTGAAGAACTGACTTTAATTGCTGCCACTGCTTGCTTTCCTGCCAACATTGGCTTCCCAGGTAAGCAAACTAGCTCTTTTGATAAAGCCTGATCTAGAGTTAATCGAGAAACATGAGACACATACCATCCTGGCGATATCCAAGGGGCTCTCCCTGGGCACCAATATCAAGTCCAAGATCAGCAGTCTAGATAAATAGGTACAAAACAAGGAAGCAAAATGAAGATTCTCAACTTAAAGTACGCTCATAAACATTACAGAAATACTTAGAAAATACAGAATTACTTCAAAATATAGAAGTATATAATAGATACGTCAAACTCCACTCCACGAAGATCAACCACTGATACTCAAGAGAAACATGTTTTCCCATTGCACACAGTATTTTAAAAATTCACGAAGTTATCCTTTTAGCAAATACACAGTAAGTGCTTACTATGTGCCAGGCACTGTTCTAGGTGCTAGAGATACAACAGAAAACAAAACAGGCAAAGTGTCACCCCCCAACAGGACATGTGACATGAGAGAGGACTTGAGCCTGTGCGGAAGCTGCAATGAACTGAGACGGAGAAAATAATGACAGAACAGGTTTGGGGAGGAGGTGGGTGGAGAAGTTCAGAGCTCAAGTTGGAACATGTCAAGGCTGCCTGTTAAAAACCTAGTAACACATCACTCACTGTTTGGCATTTCCTTTTAACGAATAATATGTAGGATCTCTTTCCCTTCAACTGTATATTACTATGTACCATAAAAGACAGTCCTAATTTTCAATGAATAACTGTGGAGGACATACACTAAAATTCATAGAAATTCAGCCAGAGATGTAGTGACAAAATGACCCCCAACTCACAGTGTTTAATGATTGCCTCTTTACTCTGATAATTTTCATCTCCCTCCCTGTGAATTCTAAGGTTAAGTAAGCAGTTAGTTTGTTCTGAGCAGGCTTTTGAAAGCTGTAGTTCTCCTTCAGTCGTTGCCCACATAGCATGATGAACGACTATTCAAGCTAAGGACAGTCAGCAACAATGCACATATACTTAGTGTTCTGAGGGAAAACATGAACTGCTCTGGCCAACCACCAAATACACACACTCGCACTGCCTACCTCATTCCAAGCCATTGGCTCTGTTCTGAAGAGAGAACTGGTCAGCTCCACTGAAAGCCGCTTCTTATAGTCCTGTGGCTTGTCCTCAGACATTCGGAACAAAACAGCAGCTGCATACGTTGCTGGGAGAGGACAGAAACAAAGGCTCTTAGGGAAAATGGAGGCATCACTGTACGCACCAGCTGGAGGTCCTGGTTCCTCTTCTACTTACCCACACCTTCATTCCTCGAGTGCAGCAGTTCCGTCAGGGGAGCCGTGGCTCCCTCGGCTTCAATAGCTTCTGCAGCCTCCTTGTCCTGAGCGAGTTCACAGAGGACCCCTGCTGCTACTCTCTGGATATTTTCAATGGGAGAATAAAGCAGCTAAGGAGAAAACACACATGAAAGCCTAATTAAATTAAAGCACAGCAAGCACCCCACATTGTGGTACAAACGTTCCCAAGTGAGTATAAATGGCGTTTGCACTACTTGTATTAAAGCATCATCATGCCCTGCTTAGCAAAGGGGTAAGTCTGAGCAGTGCATGTGAACATCAGAGCACATCCCTAACCTGGATGGTCAGCCCACTGCACCCCTAGGCCACAGGCCTATACAGCACGTTCCTCTACTGAATACTATGGGGACTTGTAACACAATAGTATATATAGATTTGCTTACACCAGCATCACCACAAACACGTGAGTAACATGTTGTGCTGTAACAGTACGATATCATGGGGTGACAGGAATTTTTCAGTTCATTATAATCTTATGGTACCACCACTGATGACAGAGATATCATTATGTAGCACTTGACCGTATTCTCTAAATTATTTTCCAAAGTGTTTAATGAAGGGAATTTTCATAAAATTAAATGTATTCCACATAAAGGACCTCACACGTTGAGGTTCTACTTTTCATGCTCTGACAGGGGGACATGGGCAGAGTATTGTCGTTTTATAAATAGTGATAAACAAAAATGAAATGTCTGTACTCTTATTTTGGTCTCTAATTTCCTGAAAATTTGCTTATTGTTAAAATCCTGAAATATTATAACAACCAAAATCTACAACACCTCACTTAAAACCAACATACCTGCACAAACAGTGGAATGGTATTCAGTCCTCTGATTACGATTCGGTTGTGAACATCCCGAGCTAGGATGTGAAGGGCTCCGGTACAACCTTCAACTATTTCTTCCATGCGGACGCCCTCCTACCAAAAGAAACATGGTTAATAGGGCATTCTCCTTCCTAAAGTTTTAAACTAAGATTTTCTGTTCTGAGTAGCAATTACTAGTCACACCATACACCCAAAACTTTCAAGAATTTGCAGTTAGTTCAGGAATAAAGGAGGATTCCATTAAGTTGAATGTCACTGAAAGGGGCCTCATGGTAGCATTAAGTCCACGCAGCAGCCCTTCCCCACACAGTGCTTCCATACGCCTCTGAATCCCACAGAGAACTTTCTTGCAGTGAGGGCACCCACCACTCTAGGTAAAAGGGAAATTGAAAGACGAGAAAGCAATGCTCAGACTATGTCAATGTTTTCTTTCACATGCTCCATTTTTATACACCTATGTATATTTGGTGAAAACTTAGCAAAGTTTTATCACCAACTACTAAAATTCTACTAAGCTGCCAGCAGAAAATCCACGCCTCACCTCCCCAGACTATTCAACTGAAGGCCTGTATGAGAAGAACGTTAGCTTTTGCAAAATAAGTGCTATGTGCCTTTCCTGTTTCTGAATTTTAAAAAAGGTTATAATGCCCCAGCCAGTCTGGCTCAGTGGATAGAGCATCGGCCTGCGGACTGAAGGGTCCCTGGTTCGATTTGGGCCAAGGGCACATCCAGGTTGTGGGCTCGATCCCCAATAGGGGGCGTGCAGAAGGCAGCCAATCAATGATTCTCTCTCATCACTGATGTTTCTCTCCCTTCCTCTCTGAAATCAATAAAAATATATATTAAAAAGAATAAAGGTTATAATTCTGCTACTTTTAGAAACTGTATTTTAAAATAATATATTTTTACCATGACCTCCTGGTTCATGGGTCCAGTCTCAACCACTGAGCCACACTAGCCAGGCACAACTGATTTTTTAGAACAAAACCTTTTTTCCTAAAGAGATTGAAAATAAAAGGTACCTTTGCACTTTAATAAGCCACCTCATAGACACAGGCCAATGCCAAAAGAATGGAGAAAGCCAAAGCCCCCGAGTGAGTGCACACACAAAGCAACTAGCAAGAAGGGGTTCTCAAAATCTGTTATGGGAAGGTCCATCCTTATTTCCTAAAGTAACTGAATTAAAGAAGAGAACTCTCTGAAGGTCTGAGTCTTAAATTCAGAGGGTTCACAAATGTCTTTACTTGTAATGAAGTTAGTTTTAAGACTGCAAACTTGGCATCAAAAGTTTTAAGGCAGTGGTTCTCAACCTTCTGGCCCTTTAAATACAGTTGCTCATGTTGTGACTCAACCATAAAATT